GCAGACGGTCAGGAGCCTCCTGCCAGACCCGGCCTGCCCCGAGATGTCAGAGGGACATGATCAAGGTTAGCCCTGTTGGTTATGTGCGGGCTGCCAGCTCACAGCGACGGGAGATTCAGAGACTGGGATTCAACTCTTGACAGGCCTGACACAATTTATTTGGAAATCTTCAGGAGAGAACATGAGTAATAAAGACAAGAACAGTGACAGTAAGGAACAAATGTGAATTTCTGTCAGAGACGAAACAGAATTTTAAAAGAAGGAGGTCTGTTTGTTGTCTACAGTCAAGTTTTCCAGTTAAACTGTGTTCCTAAATTGAAAGTCCTTCCGCTACTTTTCTCTGTGGGCTGGGAAAGTACAATTAGAAGACTTCTCTTCAGAGGATTGTATGTTTTAAAAATCATGGTACTTGTTTCTCTGTCACAGAGCAACGATTACCTTTAGGAAACAGAAAAGTAAAATACTTTTTCTTAAGATTTTCCTTTCTAATTTAATCACACTGTGATTCTTGATCGGACTTTCCTTTGACTAGAAGATCTGATGTGGTATCTTCCTCAGGCAATAAATGTAGACAGAAGAAGAGGGGGTCTGCTGAATGTCAAGAACTGTGAGCCTGGCATGGGCGTGTGGGCAGCTCTTGTGCGGGTACACACAGACTAGATTATGTTCTCGAGGAAAAGCATACTGGGGAAAATGTGCTTTGTTGGCCCTTTATGAAGGACCTTAATTAGAAGTCACTCCTAACTCCTGGGGTGGGAACAGTTTCTAGCCGCCACACTCCTCCTGCTGCTAATGAGCATGCTCCTTGCAAGGACGAGTTTCTTCTGACAGTTAAAGCTGCATATGAGAGTTATTTCTGTTCACCTTTCTCTCTGCATTTAACCCTTACTGCCCACATTCAGATTATGCAAAGGGACTGGTAGGTGTTTTCCGTCGTAGTTGAGGAGTGCTTCAGGGTAACAAGTGCGATGTTTCTGAGCAAGAAGTAAATAATCAAAATTTAATTTATTCAGATACAGACAGTAGGCGAGGGTTCCTTTAGTGTTCACCATAATTGGATCTTTTCTTTCTGATGGTCCTTTTTAAATTGGCATGAAATGTATAATTGAATCGTTGAATTATTTAGTTCATTATTATGTAATTAGAATCCCTGTCCTGGACATCTGTTTCTCTTATTTGGGCATCTCCCCCCATGGCACAGGTTTCATTAAGTAATTAGCAGAGGAGATATAAATTTCTTATGCAGACATGATGATGATCCTGTAGACTGCTATTTATTTCATCAGCTTCTAATTAAAACACTAAGTTGACTTGTGAGGAAATGCCAAGGAATGGTTTGCTTCTCCAGGAAGTTATATATAACATAGTCACCTTCCTGGATGGCAGCTTGTGGAGGGTGGTGAACAGTCTGGGGGTTTTTTCCCCCTCCCTCCTTGGGTAGGGGTCATCAGAGGGTACAAGGATTTCACTCCACTTAATAGACCATTGACCGAGTGCAGGGTAAGTGGGCGTATTCCAGAACACTAAGGTTGTGAATCTCTTAATGTCTAGGAGCGATTCCTTGATTCTGAAAAATGACATATTCTGATAAACCTTTCATCTTAGTTTAGACTTGCTGAGGACTGCTTCTCATGACTCAGGCTTTCTCTACACGGATGCCTTTGGTCTTGGACTTGCACCGATGCTGAGACGTTGACTATGCTGAGACGTTGACTATGCTGAGACGTTGACTATGCTGAGACGTTGACTCTCAGAGGACTGCCGGGGGCTGAGTGCTCTTCCTTTAGGAGGGCCGCTGCGGCGCCGCCAGAGGCTGTTGGCAGCATTGGAGACCTCCCTGCGGACCTGTTGTTTCAGGAACATCCCAGGCATCCTGCCTTCAGAGCGAATGATGCTGTGGTCTTCATGTGTAAAGTGGAGTGGGTAAAGGAGAATTTCAGGATGAGACTATGCAGACTTACTCCTTAGTTTTTTTTTTTTATTAAATGCTCATTGGTCAGACAAGATGGGGAATTAGAAGAAAAGAAATCAGGCTTGGACACGCCTCCTAATTTTGGGGGTTCCATCAACTAGGTTGTTTGGTGATGAGCGATTATGATTATATAAATATGAATTCTGTTTCTCAATCTTAGAAATCATATATTAAAAAATATTGTCTTAACATATCACTCTCTTACTTGTTTGCAAATTGGTTAGCCATTGGTGGTATTGACATACTGAAAGTAAATTTTCTTGTAGCAGAGGCTTGCTTTAGACATGGAAATGGGTGCTATATAGATAGCAGCACATTGGACAGTTTGGAACAGATTCACTTGGGAAGCACCTTTGAATGAACATTGCACTTCCAGACACAAGCTCAGTTGTATCAGATCGCAGTGCAAATGAAAGAAGATCCGAGTGGCCCTTCCTTCTTAAAGGTGTGCTGGCGTCCTGTCATAGCCCTCTGGATTTTAGCAGCTTAATAATGCAAAGGCTGCAGCCACTTCCCCTTCTTCTGTGGACCCTAATCTCTCTCCTCACCGCCCACCCCCGCCCAGAGTTGGGGGATAATTTCTTACATAGATGCTCCAAATGTAGGACCTTCTCTTAGAATAAACTCCATTTTTCTGTTTCGGTTTTTACTCTAGAATTTTCTGTTTTTGTCACCCAATGGAAAAAAGTCTAAATAGGGTTATTAATACAAATAGTGCCTTGGTTGGTTGGTTTGTTTTTAAAAAGGACCCCTGGAGAGCAGTGTGGGCCCCTGCCTGGTATATTTCTTTTAGCTGGCTGCTTTGTAATGATTTACATTTAGATTGTTGCTTGTTGCTTTTGTAGGGAAGAGGAGGGGTCTGGCGTGTCTGGCTGCCTCACTCCTCACACCGGCTGGGTTTGGACAGCTTTACTCAGAAGAGCCAGGAAATAGGCTGTACTTGCTTTCAATTGTTTTCATCAAAGGCCTTGTTTAGTTGGTTTGTATTGGGGGAAAATGTCATGTAGGACTGCAAGAACTAAATGAGATGAAAAATGAAGTTTACAATTGCTGTGAATGGTGCGTGCCTTCTGAAAGTCGGTGCTCGGTGCGGTGGGGTGGCGGCGGTGAGGAACCATCACCATTGTCACCGTTGGGGCCAGTAAGTGCTAGAGTGGCACGCAGCACCCACTCCACACAGCGGGGCTGGGAGCGGGGTCCAGGCAGCCTTCACTGAGACACTGCCAGGGTTCCCTGCAGATCCGGTGGGTGAGACTCGAGTGTGCTTCCACTGCAGGGCCCACGGATTCAGTCCCTGGTTGGGGAGCTGAGATCCTGCATGCTTCATGGTACGGCCAAAAGAGAAAAGAAGTGCAGCTAACAGCCTACTGGTTCTCACTAGAGCCACAGTATATAGAAAATCAGGACTGCCTAAGGAGCTTTATTCATCTAAGAAACAGTTTAGGCAAAGAGGGCGCATTAGTGAACAAAGCAGGTGAAACTTGCTGCCCTCCAGGAGCTTATGTTCTCCTGGAGGATAAAGTGAAAAGATAGTGTTGTGGAGGAACAAAAGGCAGGAAAAGGGGTCAGGAGTGGTCTGTATAAGGTTTTCCTGGAAGAAGACCTCATTGAAAATATTGCTTAAGAGACAGAAGAAGTGAGGTCCCCTGTGGATCTGGGCAAAGAGTATTCCAGTCAAAGGGAACAGAAGGTGAAAGGCCCTGGGGTAGGAGACAGTCAGGCCAGTGTGGATGGAGCAGAGGGCACGAGCAGCAGGGGACAGGGTCAGAGGAGGGCCCACCATGCAGGGCCTTTCTGAGGGTTGAAGGAAGTATCTGAAATTTTCCTCCAAGAAAGGGAGCTGTTAGGATTTTGAGCAGGAAAATGAAGCGATTGTAACTTGATTTTTAGCAGGGTCGCTTGGCTGCCTGATGGATAACAGACTATAGAGACAAGGGGAAGTGCAGGGAGACAGGTTAAGAAGCTACTCCGCTAGGCCAGCAGAGATGGTGATGGCCTGGACCAGTGTGGTGGTGGTGGTGGGGTGAGAAGATGTGGGATCTGAGTTTGTTTTGAAGAAGATAGTTTAGGAGACTCTCTTCCAGAGGCCGTTCAGTGCAGATCATGTTGGAACCTTGGCAAGAGGTGCATTGTCAATATGCCATACAGTAATTCCAGAAGCACAGAGCCCCACGAGCTGGCTCTTTTTTTGTTTTGAAGGCAAGTTATTTATAGCCTGCCTGTGACATGAACTTCAGACTTCATTTCATTTTACTTTTTAAGGTTATACAAAACAGTTGTTGCACCCTATACCACCAGCCCCCACGACTTCACCATCCTCCACCCCACTAATTTGACTCCAGCTCTGGGGTTGTAATACCAGGCGCTGTCTCTGCCCATCCCATGAAGGAGGCCATGGAACAACTTGCTTGAGAGCATGCAAGGACACTTCTTCACTCTGAGTAAACTGGAATAGTCTTCAATATTAGAGCCTGATTCTTGTACATTTAGTTGTGCATAGGAATAGAAATGTATTTTTACTAGAAAAGATTATGGATCAGCCATGAAAGACTGATTTTAGGTACAGAATTGTGCTAAGTATGGTGATACAAAAAAATAGTAGACGTAGTCCCTTCTCTGGTGAATTGTAGTTTACTCGAGGACAAAGATCCCAGAAGAGATAACCAGTACAAGCAGTGAACAATGAGGACCCAAAGGAGGGGTACGGAGAGAGGGGTCCTGTTTCCAGTTTGAATGGTCTCCTTGTCGGCATGGCTGTTTTAAAAAATGACATAGAACTGATGTTTGCTGAGCCACCCCCCTCTCCTCGCTCAGGCCTGGCTCGTGAGAGGCCAGCTCTGAAGGTGCGCGCTTGTCACAGTTTGTGCCTCCTAGACCAGGCCAGTCAGAACTGGCTCTGGCTCACACACGTCCCGTGCCTGGACAAGGGCAGTAGCCTGGTCTGAAGCGTGCCTGGCAGGAGATTAGTCCGCTCTGGCTCGCCAGGCCAGGCACTAACCCTGACGCCCAAATGTGTTGTTTTGTGCAGATTCACAGTCTGAGAATGAGGCTTCGCCAGTGAAACGGCCACGACTACTGGAGAACACGGAACGATCCGAGGAGACCAGCCGGTCTAAACAGAAAAGTCGACGTCGGTGCTTCCAGTGCCAAACCAAACTGGAGCTGGTGCAGCAGGAACTGGGATCTTGCCGCTGCGGTAAGCGACCAGGGTGGGTGGGGAGCATTAACTTCTGAGAGGCTGAGCTCCTGGCTTCTGCTCCTGGGTACCTCCCCGCAGGCTGTAGGTTTGGAGCTCAGGAAATTGGGAGTAGAGGAGTCTTATTTCTAAACACCCCTCATTTCCTTACGCATAACAAAAAAGGCTAAAACCTCCTCGACCACTCTTAGCATAGTTCATTAGCATTGCATTGTCGCTGCCCTCAGCTTCTCCCCACTGCATATTCCCATGGTTCCCTCTCATTGATGACTTATTTGGAAGTTAACCAAACCAGTGAGACTCTGGGATATGTACCATAAAATTCATACATTAATTTTGAATGAGATTTTTGCTATGTATAATAAATGGAAGATTTCTCCCCCATATCCCTTTTAAATTAAAGTTTGACTAGAAAATTTTTTTCCTTGAACCATAATTTATTGTCAGTTAACCCCTTGAAATAGCTTTAAAGTAACCTTTCCTTTGGTGTTATTCAGTGTAATACCAACTCCTGGAGTTGCTGCAAAGAGGTGTCCTTGTTAAAAACTTTATGCCTGCCCACAGTGGAGTGAAACTTAGAACAGCGCTTCCTCTCCCTCTGACCACATGCATCACAAATTGTGTAGCTGTATTGTTTAGGCTGACTGCGGTGTTTCCGTATTGTGAAATTGTGGTTTGGGACAGAGTTCTCATCAGGCACGCTGGCTCTGGCCTCTGAGAACCCTGTATCCTTTCTAATGCTCACTCCTGAGCACTAAAGCTCACTCTAAAGGCACTCCTGTGTCTCAGGTGGCTGTAGATGTCCTATAAGTGTTGCAGGAAGGGAGACCCCTTCCAGGGCCCGAAACTGGGCTCTTGTCTAACACTCGGATATGAATTGTCCGAGGAGACACATGTGCTGACAAAGCAAGAGATTTTATTGGGAAGGGCACCCAGGTGGAGAGCAGGAGTGTAAGGGAACCCAGGAGAACTGCTCTGCCGCGTGGCTCGCAGTTTTGGGTTTTATGGTGACGGGATTAGTTTCCGGGTGGTCTTTGGCCCATCATTCTAAGTCAGTCTTTCCTGGTGGCACACGCATCGCTCAGCCAAGATGGATGCTAGCAAGAGGGATTCTGGGAAGTGGACAGACAGGCAGTGTCTCCTCTCGACCTTTCCCGAACTCTTCCGGCTGGTGGTGGCTTATTAGTTCCGTATTCCTTATCAGGATCTCCTGTTATAAAACAGCTCATGCAAATGGTTACTACGGTGCCTGACCAGGGTGGGTGGTTTCAATCAGCATGCTTCCCCTAACAACTCCCCCCTGAGACACTTCATACTCTAGATGCTTCTTGGGATTGGGGCGGAGGTCTCTTTCTTCTGTAACTTGTTCCTGCTGTGCCTGGGCGTAGGCCTGCCTAGCAGAGCAGAAGTCTCTCTCTACCCGATCTAAGTTGGGGTGTTCTATATCTGAAATCAGCTTTCACTCTTGTAATAACAGCCATTTAGTTTGAAACGGTTGGCGCCTCTCGGAGAAGAAATAGACAGGGGCCAAACAGCAGACCTCGCAGGATGGTCATCACGGGTCCCCAGAAACAGGAGGCAACACTTGGGGTGAGGGCTGAGGGTTTGTGCCTGTTTGTCTTTGACTGGCTGGTGGGGAAGCAGCAGAGCTGTGCTCCAGGAGCCTGTGTTTGGTCTGAAGTCTCCGTCCTCCACCCGGGCGGGGCTCCAGTTCCGTAGAAAACTCAAAAGATATTGTTATGCATATTTCTTTGAATAGGAACTAGGACCCTGTCTCAAGGCTGTACCACCATTTGATTGTTTTTCCTCTGTTTCTGTATTCCCTCCCTTCCCAGATTAGCAATCCACCCTTTGGAACTCAGGGAAGGTCAAGGAGGCTGAATGAAGCCTGTATCCTACAGATAAGAAATGGAGAACACACAGCAGATCTGTGCTCCAGAGTCGCCACCCCACAGAGTCCTGCTCAGTTTTAATTTAGGGAACAGGGCAACTATAACTATGATAAGTTCCTGTCAAAATGGGGCATAGGACTGCCTCAGCTTGGAGAAGAGACACTGAATTGGAAGTGTTCCTGAGTTCCAGGTCCTAGATCTGAGCCTTGTGATTAAAATCTCAGTCCCTTGGTCTGCCATTCTGCTGTAACAGACCCAGTTGGTAGTAGCTGGAGGAGGGATAACTGGAATTTTAATAGACAAAAATAAATCTCTTTCTTGTTAGAAGAATAGGCCTGAAACCCAGTCTGGACCTGGTATTTCGGGGAGACTTTTAGCCAGGTGGCCAGTTGCCTAGTTTTATAAAAAGTAAGGTATAAGTTACTAGCTTCCAGCAGACATTGTTTTGAGAATGGTGGCATCTAAGCCTGACATGACTCAGAAAACTCAAGTGTTTAGCAATATAACGTCTAATCTGAAATTACACCCATAGTAACACCTGGTTATTTCCCAGGATGTCTGAACCATAGCTGAGTACTCTATTTTGACTTTTAATTGTAAAATTTTCCTTAATAAGATGTCACCATTAATGATGTCAGTGTTTCTCTAGGTATGAGAAGATGCAAGAATTGGGACTCATAAAATGTCCTGAAAAGATCTATCTATCTGAAGGCCTGTTCTGCCAGTTTTTTTCAGAGCACAGAGTGCCTCATTCCTGATTTTCACCCTGAACTCCTTTCAGGGCCGTTGAAAGTCAGCATTTGCAGTGGCCATGATTTAATCTCTGCAGATGTAGATGGCAAGTGTCAATCTTCAGTTGGCAGAGCCCCTTTTTGCTCATAAACTTGACCGTGATTTTGAGGGGGGCATTTCATGACCATTTTATCCCATGGTGCTGAGAATGTCCATTCTCAGGTTTGGCAAAGATTTTGTTGACAGGCCACTCAATGTGCTGTTACTGGACTAGGCCACAAAACAGTATCCAAAATTCTCGGGACCACCTGTCTTACTAGCCTCTTGGTCCAGGAAAACATTCCCTCTTGTTGCTTCTTCTCATATCTAGAGTTACACTGTTATCATCGATCTCATAGGGAACTATATATTATTTTATCAGAGGCCTCAGTCACACATTTGACAGTGTAAGAAACAGCAATTTTATAAAACAGGTGAAATACAAAGAACATAGCCAGCAGTATTAGTAAAGTCACAAGTAAGACTTAAGAGCTTCCATTGGATGTAGCCCAGTATATCTCAGGTCGTCTGACTTAGTCTACTCTCTATGAATCTTTATCTTTCAGGGAAATTATACATCGGCACCACCATCTATAAGGCACATAGCCCAGTTTTCTAGTGTTACTAGACTGATTATCCTTAGTTTGATTTAATTGTTTTCAACACAGAGGAGACTTTAAACCTAAATTACCATAGCCTGGTGTTATCTATATAAATCCATCTCATAATTGTGGGAGATTTCTTTCTCCTTTGCTGAAACTTTTCTTGTTGCTCTGATTGAGCTTGAGTAATAGAAAAAGGCTCAAATTTACGGCCAGAGTCAGAGTAGGCATTATTAATTGGCCCAGTGAGGGGATCCCATCTGGTAGTATCACAATGACCTGAATATGACTATAATTTTTTTTTTTTAGTAAATTTCCTCAGGGCCAACCAGTTAGAGTCTTATAGTAGAGAAATTTACCAAGGTAACCCAGAACTAGATACAGGTAATTGGCCACAAACCCAACAATTGGGTTGATTTCTAAAACTAGTATAGGATCAGGCCTATGATAGAAATGAATTTGATTTATATGCAAAGGTCTAAGAAGTCAAGAAAACATTATAAATGATCATACGAATCAGGTCCAGCATCTTGGGCAAGCTGTCTACCTCTGATATCATTGTCTTCTCATCCTGGTGTAGTGTAGTTTCTCCTGTTTGAGCATCATTTTAAGGTGAGATCAGGTCGGCTGTCTTCTCTATAGACCAATCCAGCGTAGGGGCCTTTGGAAGTGGGAATTAATCTAAGAGTTAATTTCCCTTCAGTTTCATTGTGCATGAGCTAGTTAAGAGTACCTGATAAAAAGTCCTTCCATCCAGGTTGGAGACAGTCCCTTAAATTATGTCTTTTTCCAGTCCTGGTAGCAGGTCATGAGGCATCTGATCTTCATCCTAAGATAGATTACTGAGATAAGCTTCAGAAACAAACTTAGGGTGTTCTTTAAGAATTCAATTAAATTTTGCATTAATATCACATAACAGCAAAGAACTATCCAAGAAATGAGTCTTACTACATACAGACCTCCATTAACAAACTGTGATTTAACATTTTTTGAAATATCTTTTTCTCCCTAAAGTTACCCTCATTTTTATCAAATACAACCAAATTAAGGCTACTTTGTTTGCAAAATAGGTCTGTTCTCACTAATTTTGGTCTGATGATTTATATAACCATAATTGATTACCCTATTTATTTTGCTGAAACACTGATAGCATCTCAGACTGAACTTTTAATGGGAAACTCACACCAAAGGCTTATCACAGATTTTGCCTAACAAATGTAGGTGAACTCTTCCTTTTTTAAGGTCTCAAAAATTCCTTGAGATTTTTGTACCTGTTAGTGAGATAACCTTCCTAGCTCATTTGATAAACTTACTGGAAACCTAAGAGTTTCAAATTTCTGGAGGAGTCAGATAGAGAGAAAATATAATTGTTTTGTTTATAACATATAATTTTACCAAATGATTTTCATAATTAGTTTGAGAAGAAGGTTTTCCCTACTCCCGGAAAACACAAGATTCACACCTGTAATTTTTCAGATAGAAACCATAAAAATTATAAGCATATTTGCTGGTTCATTCAGTCCTTTGTTAACTTTTGTGAAGTCATCAGGTTTCTCATTAGAATACCAAGACATATCAAAATGTTAAGAACTGCATATAATTTTTAGGATATCTGTATTAGTAATTTTACCATAAATTATAACATGAGTGGATTTATTACTCGTTTGATAATCTTTTTCATGTAATTTAACCAACCAAATACAGTTTAATATCTCCCTTTGGGATGTTTCAAGGG